CATTTTGGGCTGCTTCATCACATGCTGGGCTGTCATCCTTCACTACACTCCTCCAGATGGGTGGCATAGAGCCCCTCATGACTCCCATCTCACAAAACTTTTCATCCTTGTAGCCTTGGATACCTTGATCATCACATAGCCATCGAAATCGCACTCGATACGGACCCATCCACAACAACAATAGCGCCTCTAGCCCAGTGCGTCTTTTGTTCATGCTCAACCGATATCGTTGGTGTCGTTTTGCCATCCTTGGTAGTGTGTGCTCATTTTGTGTAGTCGTCTCACGTGGCTGCTTCAACATCTTGCTGTCATCACTTTGAATCACCTCTTGCTCACACGTCAAACTTGGATCCATGTCATCTCTTTTTCCTTGCAATAAATCCGGTGATGATGGTTTTGGTTGCGCAATGATGGGTGGTTTCTCATTTGTATCCATTGACGCTACTTCCCCTTGACTTGCTGATTTTGCCTCATTGCCCTCAACAAAATGCACAACATGCACATGATTTACAGGATTTGCCTTGTGTTGGGCGACCACACCTGTCAATGGCCGCCCTTCAGAAAATCCTGCTTCTCTGGTCCTGTATCACCGTTCCTTTTGATGGCTTCTGAGACAAGATTACGTTGGGTAGCTGGGTTATACACGTTGCTTGATTGACCCTTGCTTGAGCTGCAATGTGAGATCACATGACCAGACGCACCACAACCTCCACATTCGCTACGACATTGATCCATATAGTGACCCTGCTTATGACAATTGAAACATACGGGCTTGAATCCACCACCACTTGCACGGGATGATGACCTTGGTCTATCAGCAACCGTCTCTAGGACCTTCTGTTGCATGACCACCAAGCTCTCCATTTGTTGCATGAGGGAATCCATTCTTGCTTCCAACGATTTTCTCTCTTGGCGTTGAGTATTATGCACGATTTGAACACGAGGCTCTTCTTGATGGGATGGATTTGCAACATTGGTCATGGGTTGCACGATGCTTGGTATAACGGAGGGATTGGCACGGCACTTGTCGGCCAAACGCACAGTTTCTCGCAGTTCTTCAATGTTTTTGGGTTTCTTTAAGTTCAAAAAGAACTCATTATGGGGTCGCAGCCCAATACGGATCGCACTGATATCTGGATTCGTGACCTCTTGCTGATTCAATTGAAGGCGCCTCCACAATTGAATCTTTGCGTGGATGTAAGATTCACCAGGTTCTCCTTCAGCTTGTATCCTTGTATAAAAATCCTCCTCCATTTTGTTGCGTCTGTCCTCGTTGAGGAATTGGTATAAGAACTTTTGCACAAAGCTTGTTTGCAGCCCATTGTCATATTCGAGTTCTTTCTTATCCAGCTTCCTGAACCAATCCAATGCTTCGCCTTTCAAGTGATGATCCATCAGCTGGTACTTGAGGTCGTTGGATAGACAATTCCTTGCTATTGCATGTTTGTGAAACTCTTCAAGAAACGCCACCGGATCTTCATGCACTCCTTCTCCGGAAAAGTAGCACATGGAAAAAGGATGAGGTATGGCATACCCAGGGATCATGTATTGTTGGGGTTGTGTCACTGGAAACTGATATGGATTGTACATTTGAGAGAAATGGGGAACATCTTGTGACCAAGGAGGCTGGTTTGTTGGTACACTGGGCTGAGGTGGAAATTGAAGCGGGTACTCTTGGTATTGATAGACACTTGTTGGATGATTCGACTGACTTTGCTGGTACACGGCTATTCCACCATGAAATAAAGGAAACGGAACGTGCCCAGCAGCAAGGCCTGAATGTGTATACCCTGCCATATGAGTCGAGGTGTCCATGTACAAAGTCATCTATCTACTATCAAGCACCCTTTGGTGCACAACTGCTACTAGGGATGACTCGAAAGGTCTCAACAAATACACACGTAAAGAGATACAATGAGGGGAAAGATATGATATGGAACAGGGGAGGAAACAGAGATGATGTATG